TCCGTGACATCGGCCAGAATGCCATAGTTACGGTAAAGCTCCTCCACGGTCGGCATGGTGAGCGACAAGCCCTGGGCCCGCTCCTGCTGTCGTCGTCGACGCCGGCGCCACCGCCGTCACCCAACTTCTCAAGCCCGCGACCCGCACTGTTACGCCTCCAGCTGCCGCCAGTGCCGCCGCCAGTCACCGCGCACAGGAGGCTCCGCCCCCACGTCTACGTAGAGTCGAGCGCGCCGGGAGCGGCCTTCACGGGGAGCGGGGCAGCCGCCCGGGGTTCTGTCGCCCTCTACCGTCGGGAGGTGCAAAAAGCGAGAAGAGTGACTACAACTCTAACTCTTTGGAAAGGTGGTGACAGCCAAGGAGCTCTTTAGGAAGGATGGGAGAAGACAAAGATGATTGCGTTTCTGCTCTTCAAAGATGTTACGTTTGCCAGAAAGTGATCTCATAGGAAGAGAAATAGAATACGAGGTGCAAGTACAAGCCGTAGGAGAAGTCCAAACTCGCTTTCCGCCTGGTTAAAGAAAGTTAACATCCGTCTGTGGCAATAGAGTCGTGGGTTGATGGCAAGCAAAAAGCATTCGAATGCCAGAATGCCATTAAAAAAAAAAATAGGAATAAGATGGGAACCAGCAGTTAGCGTAATGGCTATGTCGCTGGATTCCCATGTAGTCAACCGCGGTTCGCGTCCCGGACCCGGTGGCTTAGAACTCACGCTGGGCACGTGTGCGTGTGTGTCCAAGATCCCGAGAGGAGAATGGAGGAGAAGGGATTGTGGCGTGGTCATCGCCAGCGGGGGGTGATTTCTCGCTCTCTGTCTCTATGTCTCTCTCTGTCTGGTGAGTGCACGCTCCCTATACCGAAAACCTCTAAAAAAAAAAAAATAGGAGTAAGAAAAAAAAAAAAAGAAATCTCTGGGAGTCAGCAGGTGCGGAGTGGTTAAGGTGCTGGATTTGAGCCGTGGTTTGAGTCCTGGACTTGGCCGCTGAAACTCACCCCAGACGAGGGGTGTGTGTGTGTGCGTGCCCAAAGTCCGGAGAGGAGGAGTTGTGGCCTGGCCATCTCTCTAGGAGGTGATTTCTCCCTTTCTCTGTCTCTCCCAAGAGCACACCCACCTTATACCAAAAATCTCTCCCAAAAATAAAAAGGTGAGAGTCAGCAGGTTGCATGGTGGATTTGGCACATGGTCAACTACAGTTCAAGTCCTGGACCCGGGGGCTTGCTTTCTCACTCTAATCCGTGTCTACCCCACTAAACAAGTGTGAGGGTCAAAAATAGTCTGGTGAGTTTATCTTGTTGCCAGTGTAAAGAATTGGAGACACCTGATTATGTCAGACACCAAGAGTATGATAAATATATGAGACCACGTATGTTTACTGGTAGAAGTTAGTACACTAGTTTACATGAGAAACTTTTAAATCTTTTTCTAAACTCAATAGCAGTATAAGATGATCACGTCTATGTAATAAAAAAAAGACTACAAAACAAAGTTATATGTGTATGTCTAAAATGATGTTAAAATAGATATTTTAAGATTTAACCATAAGGACCAGCAATTAACGTAATGGCTATGTCGCTGAACTCCCATGTAGCCGACATTGGTTTGAGTCCCGGACCCAGTGGCTTAAACTCAGGCTGGGCGCTTGTGCGTGCTTGCACAAGATCCTGAGAGGAGAATGGAGGAGAAGGGATTGCAGCGTGACAATCCCCCCCGGGGGGTGATTTTTCTCTCTCTGTCTCTCTCTGTCTGTCTGGTGAGCTCACACGTCCTAGAGCAAAAACCTCTCAAAAAAAGAAAAAACCAAAACAAAATAAAACATTAAACTATAATAGACAGCAAATTTCAAAGCTGGGATCCACTTGGGCAGAATAGGCCCAGAAATGGTTACAAAGCAATTTCCTGGCTCTTGTACTTCTCCATCAGATTAAGGATATTAAAAAGGTTTAGAGAGTAGAATGAGAGGAATTGGTGATGAGTTTTTGTTTATTTGCTTTTGCTTTTTTTTTTTTTTTTCCTGTTTGGAGGGTGATGTGTTTGAGTAGGTTGGTTCAATTGCTGTATCCTTCCTTCAAGCCTGGGACCATTCTGAGAATTCCGAAATCTGGTCTCTGTGGTTGGGAGAGGTCAGAACCAGAATTTCATCTGGCAGGAGAACCAGAGACAGCGAGGACAGAAAGCCACACTCAGACTCCGGTATGGAAAAACACAGCTCTCGGGTGAGGTCCCTCGGCCTGGTCAGAGGCGAGGGAGTCACACCCAGGGTGGGTACTGCTCGTTCTTAAAGGGCCATTGTCCAATAGGTAGTCGCCAGGGGTCCTTGTCTGGCCAGTGAAGGTCGCTGTTTCTGTTCAACTTTGGTGGGTGCGCCAAATGCTGGAGGCAGGGGCCTCTCAGAATGCAGAGGGCAGGTAAGGCTCTTGGGATGCAGAGGGTGGATCAGGCTCTCCCGGCTCCCCTTCCCCCAGACCCGACAGGAAGTACGGAGGACTGCAGCAGGACACAGGACTGCCGAGATGGAGCTACCTGTGGCAGAGGAGTCTAGGCAGCCATGTTGGGATCTTCTGTGCTCCCAGAAGTGGAGAGATTCCCTTGTACCAGGTGGTCCACAGGAAAGGACGAGAGGCTCAGCATTCACTTTGAGTTCTGCTCCAGGGAGCTTCTGCCTGAGAGAGAGAAAGCCCCCGTGGCAAGGGGCAGTGGCAGCAGGAACCGAGTGGTGAGTGGGGACAGTCAGTTGGGGGTGACCTGTGAAGGCCCCACAAAGGACAGTCTTGGTCTCCACTGGCCAGTGATGCCTATATACCACATAGTTCAAGCCCTTTGGTGGGTTCTACTTTCATCACTCTTTTTCTAAAAGTATTTATTATTATTTTTTTTTCCGAAAGAGAGAGAGAAAGAGAGAGAGAGAGAGAGAGAGGCAGACAGACAGAGACAGCACTCCCAACAGGTCCCGCTGCCATAGTCCACACCCAGCCTCAGCCAGCCCCAGGCCGGGGTGCATGTGCACTCAGAATACCAAGGGAGGGCTCCTGGCATGAACCTGGAACCCTCATGCAGGTCAGCCTTGCGGAGTGTTGTGTTTTATGGCTGCACCACTGTCTGACTCCTCCTTTCTTTCCTCTTTTCACGTCTTCTTGAAGCACCCCTGTGAGAGGTTACAACCTTCCTGCCAGAGTGAATCGGGGATAAAGAGAGAGAGGGCAAGATGGAAAGCCGTTCTCAGTGGGACAAAAGAAGATCTGATTGTTCACCATCAAATGTGGGTTCTGGTGGTGGAATTAGCTTATGAAACAGCAAATCATGGGTCTGACCAGATGTTTCCTCTAGGACTGAAATGAGATTATCCTATCTGCAGTGGTCTGGAAGAAATGAGGTCCCCAGGGCTCTGCCCTAACAGTGGATCAGTGCCCTTAGGAAAGAGGCTTGGCAGGGCGTGTTCGCCCCTTCCACCCTGCGAGGACAGGTTGGAGGCACCATTTATGAAGAACGGTCCTAACCAGACACAGAATCTTCTAGTTCCTTGTCTTGGCCTTCTCAGCCAACAGAGCTGAGCAATAAATTCATTTCTGCTATTTATCAATGACCTAGTCTACAGTATTTGTTAGGACAGCCAGAATGAACTAAGACAACACCCACATCATTTCAAAGACAAGGTGGGGGACCGTGCTGCAGCTGTAAAGCCCATTTTTATCACATGCAGTGATGCCCGTACAGGAAAGGGCAGAGAAAGGGATCTTTTTTTTTTTTTTGGAGAGGTTTTTGCTATAGGGTGCATGTGCTCGCCAGACAGAGAGACAAAAAACGAGAAATCACCCCCCAGGGGGGATGGTCACGCCGCAATCCCTTCTCCTCCCTTCTCCTCTCGGGATCTGGGGCACGCACGCACACGCGCCCGGCGTGAGTTTTAAGCCACCGGGTCCGGGATGCGAACCGCGGTCGACTACGTGGGAGTCCAGTGACATAGCCATTACGCTAACTGCTGGTCCCAGAAAATGCATTTCCCAGAGGACCTTTGCTTTGGTTTAATGTTTAAATTCATTACAATGAGAATATGCTTATTTATATATATATATATTTAATTTTGTTTATCTGTTTTTTTGTGTTTGTTTGTTTGTTTGTTTTTGAGAGGTTTTTGCTACAGAGTGCATGCACTCTCCAGAAAGACAAAGAGACAGAAAGTGAGAAATCACCCCCCAGTGGGGATGGCCATGACGCAATCCTTTCTTCTCCATTCTCCTCTTGGGATCTTGGGCACACACGCACGCATGGCATGAGTTTAAGCCACCAGGTCTGGGACTTGAACCTCAGTTGACTACATGGGAGTCCAGCGACATAGCCATTTGCCAACTGCTGGTCCCTTGTGTATTTGTTTTATTAAACACATTTTTAAAAAGAAAAAATTTACAGCTAACCCAGTGTTTCTCTGTCCTAAAATATATTCATACAAGTTCCTTCGAATCTAGTTCTTGTCTAAGAAGTCGGACAGTTTTATTTGACACTCCTTCCTTCTTCTCTGACACAGTCTTAGCCACAATCATCAGGCTTGTGAGCTCTTCCTGGCTTCCTTCTGTCTGTCCTACAGAATGCATCCAATCATTGCATGTTTTTCTCTGTTTCTAGCTGACCACCTAAGCTGTGGGCCCACGATCTGTCCTAATGATGACAATGGTGACGTTGGTGATAACGGTGGTGATGGCAATAAGAGTAGGAGGTGTTCCAGTAATAATCAACATGTAGCATGGGGCCAGCAGGTGGTGTGGTGGTTAAGGCGCTGGACACTCCCATGTGACTGACCACAGTTCAAGTCCCGGGCCTGGTGACTTGCTTTCTCACTTCCCATCTCTCTCTGTGTGTGTGTTTGTGCATCCTCTTGGTCAAGTTAAAATAAAATGAATGAATTAATAGATTAAATAAAATAATTCTAAAAACAAAACAAAACAAAAACATGTAGCTAGCAATGACAAAGCTCCGAGCACTTTCCAGAATCAATTCACAAAAGCCCCACAAGTTAGACAACGACCTCATCTCTATGAAGAAAAATACAGTGATGCCAAGATGTGAACTAACTTGCCCAGTGCCTCTTAGGAGAGATGAGTGTGAAGTCCTGTCGGCTGAATTCCAAAGTCCATCCTCTTGGCTGTAAAAGAGTATTGCCCCCAGCCCAAACATTCTCTCTTCCTCACGCTTCATTCAGTCAATAACAGG